ACGCCACTCAATTCGAGGATGGCTCCAGATAACACTGAGCCAAATTCAAACCAGATGAGTCATCGATAAAAGATTTAGTAGGAAATTAAGAAGAAGGAAAGCCAATTTAGCAGCAAAAGAAGTCAGAGAATGGAGCTGCGATTATGTTTTGTATCGATGTATAGTGATTAGGGTTAAGGACTATAAAATAGAATGGTTAGCTTTTATTTACTCTTTTGGAATCTCCATAGAAATACTATAAAATTACGACTGTTGGTACCGATTGCTCTTTTAATGTAATGGTTAAGTAAGATATAAATGCAGGAAAATGGGTTCAAGGCTCCCTCTCGATCTCTCTTTTACTTTGGTGGTCTTTCTTCTATTTTCTTTAAAACTTAAAAATACAAAATAAATGGTTTAGGTCGATGTTATCTGTAGTTCCTTACTCGATTCGATAATTCGCCCCATGATCCTCTTTTTGATAATGATTAATGACCTGGCTATTCACTTCCCCCTCCGCTCGAGCCACTGGAAGTACGTCGATGACGTTACAATATCTGAGGTCACCAGTTTTGGGGGAGGCGTCATCTCTGCAGAACGACATCAACTGCATTTCACAATGGGCCCAGCAGAAGAACATGAACCTCAACCCTAAAAAATGCAAGATCATGACCATTTGTCCACTCAAAACCAAGCCTATCTCTCCAATGCTCTCCATCAATAATTTACCTCTAGAGGAAGTGTCATCTTACAAAGTACTTGGTCTGACCCTGTGTGACACCCTTAAGTGGATCGATAACACCAACGAAATCGTTTCCAAGGCGTCTAAGCGACTGCACATTCTCAGGGTCTTGAAGCGCGCTGGGGTCCCTCCAGTGGACCTTGTCGCCATCTATAGCGCCCTGGTTCGCTCTGTCCTAGAATACTCTTCTGTTGTCTGGGCTACTTGCCTTCCTCGCTTCCTCATTGACCAGCTTGAAGCTATCCAGAAGAGGGCCCTGCGAATCGTATACCCTGACCTCCACCATCAACAGGCTCTTGCACAAGCCAACATTACCAGTTTAGACAATAGACGCGCCCACATGTGTCTTAAAGTGTGGCACAATATCAAAAATAACCCGGATGGCCAGCTGCACCGCCTTCTTCCTCCCGTGCGATCCGAATGCCACTCTTACCATCTTAGGAACAGTAGCAGTTCTAGCCGCTTCCAGTATAGAACAAATCGCTTCGGTTCTAATTTTTTCCCAGCAATGGCGAAAATTAACTAATCTTACGAGTCTAGTTATCTCTAGTATTGTCCTTTATCTATATCTGAATTGTAAATAACTTATAAATAGCCTGTAATCCCAGTCCCTCTGAAACAAATGTACTTTTATTTTTAGTTGTAACTTATGTAAGCACATTGTAATTCATAGTTTTTATGCCACCACGTGTATTTTAATAAACCATCATTATTATTATATTATTATTATACCTTGCGGGATGCGTCCAAACTCCTCTTCTCCTTTGTGTTTCCATAGAGCGAATGGGATTCAAAATACGCTTGACTGCCCAATCAAATGGTTCAGTATTAAATTAAATTTACAGTCTGAATGGCCTTTGTCTCGATTTATTCATCTATCTGATTTTGTTGTTTAAAGCAGTGTAGACAATCTCACGGACTTTATAGTGAAAAAAATCTGTTGAAGGAACTCTTGGTGAAGAACGTGATCCATGGAAACTGAGTCGGGTAAGTGTACGGGACACTTCTGCGCATGATTTTAGAACAAATTACTTACAAGATACACTGATATAGCTCCATAGGTTTAATCAAATGCACATATTATTATAGCTTTGGCGGCAACAAACGGTTTCGAGGAACGTAGTTACCGTCAATTATTCATTGACGGTAACTACGCTCCTCGAAACGGCTTTTGCTTGATTTGAGGGAAATTACCGTAGTCAGATCATTTACAACTTACAGAGAGGCAGTTGTGGAATGATAAGTAACCTTTTCTGAAGCTTTGAATTGAAATTCGTCGGTGTTTAAATCACTGTCCTCTACTGAATCGAACAACTACATGGCTGAGTTAAGGCCGCGTCCAACTGTAAAGGCGGAAAACATAGCATACCGTCAGTGGAGCAGTTTGTTGTGGTCTACTGGGTTTTTTGTCACCATTATCAGTTTTTTTCAACGGTTTCACCACTATTTTTTTACCATGCAACTTTTTGAGCTGTCGTTTCGTTTTGATTTGAGTCACTTAACATTTTGGAGGTTTTATTCATAGTTTTATGTAATAAAATAATAATATCGGCGCTTGTTCCGTTATTTGAGCCCCCTCCGGGGGAGCTTTGTTACCCGCCATACCGTGACCACGCGTATAGCAAAAGAACCACCAAAAGAAAAGATACTTTCTTATATGGCTTGAGGAGGGAAATGGAAGCAATATCTTAAGGATTTTTTCAGGTGATTATGAATTTTTTGTGTAGATTTAAAAAACTGCAAGATTTAATAGCTTCCCAATATATAAACACTTCTTATTAAGCATTTTCAGGAATATCGAAGTTTCCAAAAACTTTGTTGTGACTAGAAAGTTATATAGCTACATCAGACAACAATCAAACTTAAGTTCTACAGTTCCTTAAAGAGCAGGTTGTATATGTAAGTTTACCTTGACTTTGCCAGGCAAATAACGAAAGTGTATACTTATGGAAGTTGATTGCAGTTTCGTGCGTGTAACCTACGTCTTGGAAGTAGTAACGAACATGTGGTTTCATAACATTGTGTGGAGTTGTGTCTAGTTAAAACGTTTCTGATCACCTTTAAGCTTATATTTGCGGTTTCTTTCAGCAGGCGTTTGAAATAGCTATTGATTGGAAACCTTTGAAAGAACACACTTTTATTGTGGGGAGTTAATTACTTTTGGATCTCTACATTCAAATGGAAGTCTTATAATTGTCTTACTAAATTTGGGGGTATAGAATGGTTCCTCGAATAACGTGGTTCTCGAAAAATGTTGGCCCGATCTCGAAACTCGGAAGCGTTCGTGATCGGTCTCGAAATCTCATTTTCGGGTGATTTTGTGTTTCGGAGGCTCGAAGTCTCGGTATCGAATTTTTAACCAGGGCTTGGCAGTCTCGCAAAGTCTCGAATTTAGCAATCTATACCCCGGCACTGTGTCTGTCCAAATAAGTATATTCTAAGACAAGAAAACCGGCAACAGGAACATACAACATGAAATATTCTGCTTTATAAAACATGAATTGAAAAGTGAAGGTTCTCACCTAATTCCCACAACGGCTTAAGGGATTCACAAAACCGAAACACAATCATGATATTTATTCAATAGTCTCTAAATGTGCCAAAATTCACACAATTCCAATTCCGGTGCTTCTTTATTTTAATTCGAACACTTTCATGATTTTTTTCCCTTTCGTATCCGCTTCAATAAGATTTAATGAGCCATTTGCCAAAGGTTGGATAGAAAGTTATTCTCAGATTATAGACTTTTGTTACAAAAATACAAGCCTTTTGAGACTGATATGTGTGAGGGGCAATCGAATTTTAGGAAGACAATAAGACTAAAGGACAAGCCTTGTCAAAATGTAACTGAGGCAGCTAATGCCGACTGGGGTTGAAGGGAACTGAACTAAAGGTAAAAAGGGCGTAATGATTATGCATTTTATACAAAGCAGTTAGAGAGAGCAGCCATCTGCCACTATCTGAGACGCAGTCTTCCGGTCTATTCGTATTTTAAAGGCAAAGCAACTGTAAAAATTTATTTTCAAAGGAGGCATGCGGGAGAACTTTAAATAATGAAAGCATTTTTTATCTAGTCAATATTTAATCAAGAATTCTTGCTTCGATATTTATTAGTTCAATGATTATTTTTGGAACACTATGTAACATGAGAAGACGGCTTAAGGTAGGTTCGAATGACGTGTAAAAGGCTACCACAGACCAGAGTTGACCTAGCCCGCTTGAGATAGTTATTGCGCTGAAGAACGAGCAAGGTTTATTCATCATCTCCTTCTTTACAATTTAGTAGTCGCAAAATAAAACGTACGCCTTAGTATTAAATGGGCATAATATTTTGGAAGAAAGCAGGTAACCAGGGAGCGTCCAAAAGTGTTGATGTAAGCCTTCAAACGCATAAGGCAAAAAGGGTTCACATATCTTGTGATGAACTTACGCTTTAGAAGATGTATATTATTTTAATCTTCAGAACATCAGCATTGAAATATATTTCCGGGTACCTATAAATTATTAAAAGAGGAAAACGCTCACAATGTTAAATTTGTGAAACTGGAAAACATGTTGCAGCAACCCGAAGCAGCAACAAATTGCTTTGCGAGTGTACTGGCTAATTTTAGTACAGTCAAATCCTTGTCTTCGTGGCAGGATTCTGTCACCGCGACAAGTGACACAATTAACTAGCACAAATGTAAACTGACTTGATTTACGGCGACAAAATCCTGTCGCAAAGACAAAGATTTCTACTAAAACTATCCTTTACACACGAAGCGATTGCTCGCTGCAACGTGTCGCAGACTAGTAACAACAACTTGTCGCACGAACGGTATACAAAAAAGATTTCCTTCAGTGCCGACTCCTCGTAAACAAGTCTACGATCGAATAATCGAATTGAAACGTTTTTGCTGGCTTTTAATCCTCACTCTTCCGACGAAAAAAGTTAAAATAGCTTTATCATTTAAAGAATTGTTCTTTATGGGAAACAGACATTCTTTAACCTACGAGAAAGAACAAACTTAAGGAATAAATGCGTTTATTTGGCAAAATAATCAAGCATGGCCGGTAATTTACAGGTGGTAGAGTTGCTTTAAGTTTTTGTTCCGAGTATACAGTCAAACCTGTGTACATTTCCCTTGGGATAAATGACAAGATGATGATGATACAGGGTTACCGCTATACAGGTCAACTTTGCAGAAAAATATAAGGCAACACAAAATTTTGGGAAGTTGTCCGGTGACTGTAATATACAGGGTAACTGCTTGTACAAGGCCGTTTATACTTTTGGTCTTCAGAACAGTGGATATGCTGTGATGTATACAACATTACCATTCCAGTTACGGTCGTACACAACTTTAAGGGTGTAAATTGATATGCTCTGAAGTTTTCCTTCGCGGTCGAAAAAGGAATATTCGCCAAGTGGATGATTGAACTTCTTTATGAGAACTCGCCGACCACCTTTTTGTTTCTTTCTAAAGTCTGGACATTTCCATGTTCTTTGAACATATTGCCAAATTTCACGTAACTTCGTCCCTGATAAAAACTGTGTTTTAATCCTGCGGGACCAGTTGTCGTGGTTATATCGGGCGTTCCTCAAAAAAAAAGAAAAAAGGAAGCTTAATACAGGCGCACTTGGGTGTGACAAATTTTCCGTCATAACTTTTTCGCTTTTAACGCGATGGCTGAGAAACTTTGCAAAGAACAACAGATAGGAGGTCAAGGAGGTCAAAATACAACTGAGGCAGCTAATTCCAATACATCAAAAGTATGCAGCAGGAGTTTGAACTAAAACTGCCAAGGAATATTTTAAAAATGTCGAGGAACAAGTCATTCGACGTCAGAGCAAGGTTTGGAGCAATTTATAGTGCTTCTAAAACTAAAAAGTACCTTTTAAAGAATAGCACGATAGGCAATCGGCTTTTGTTTTCAGAATTAGCAAACATTGAATTTACTTGTCCCGAAAATTCGAACTGGTGACTCCTTCTACCTGACAGTAATTTATTTTTGAAATTCCAAATCAGTTTCACAGCTGAATTTTGAGCGACTTTTAGTTACGGACTTTCTGCTCCAACGATTTTTCTAAAAATTTCTCCGGCATAATAAAAGCCGATACCAGAAATTTCAGTAAAAAATATCAGCTTTTTTTTACTAGACGCGATTTTCTTTGAACAGTAGGATCCTTTTAAGCGCTAATTTCTCAAGAAATATTTATCCATCTTTGAAATCGAACATTTCGTACTATTGCCGAATGATATCTGTTGTTCTTTGCAAAGTTTCGCAGCCAGCATTAATGACGGAGCCACCTTAAATGCGGTTATTAGTCCTCTTTTAGAACGATTGAAGCTCGATCACATTCGAAGCCCATTTCGTTTGGAGAACGGAGTAATGTAGTTATTGTCTCTTACCAATAGGCGAGATCTTCCCACTCTGTGCGAGAAAACCGTCTAGGAATATGTCCGTCCTTTTCCAGATGGCGAAAGAAACGACGCGCCATCTAATCCAACTTTCGTTTTACAGTTCCTTGACAAAGGACAGGTTGTATATGCAAGTTTGCCAAGCTCATAACGAAAGTGTTTTCGTATGGAAGTCGATTGTAGTTTCTGCCGTCTCCGAGCACGGTAGTGCAAATTTTCGTGAGTGTAACCTACGTCTTGGAAGTAGTAACGAACACTGTGGAACATTGTGTGGAGTTGTCTCTTGTAAAAACGTTTCTAATAAATTGTGACCCTCCACAGGATTTTAATGCTAAAGGTGAAAGCATGCGCACGACACGCTTTCACTTTAAAACAAAAGAATTTATTTTAACACGCTTTAGCACGCTTGCAATCTTGCCTCATTAGCAATTTCTTTTGTTTCACAGGACACGCTTGAGACAATTAAGCGTGAGCAAGTCGAACAAAAGAGCGTGTAAAGTTTTCAAACAAAAGCTCCGTGCGAAAAAGCACAACACGCTTTCAGTGTGCGCAAAACCACGCAAGGCGTGTTATCTATAAGCAATGTAAATTTCCCCTACAAAAAGGAACCGTAAATGGTTATGAATGGCACCCTTTTTTGGTAACTATCGAGAAAGAAAAAGTTCTACCTTAGCGATCGCAGCGATAGTAACTAATTGAAAAAACGTTGTCGCTTGAAAAGTATAAACAGTGAACGGTGGGACCTGCTGGATTTATGGGTAGAAATTACAAGGTCTTCAGCATTATTTTCCCGAAAAATTTAGCTTCCAATTGAAAGTTTTAGGAAAGTGAGAATTTCATCGTATTTTTGGTTCCGAAAATTTTAGGATTCCTTTCTCTACGAAAAATAGCTAGGGATAGATAAGCTTCGAAAATTGTATATACATGGAACGGTCATCTAGAAATGTTTAGCCTTCCTCAACCTATAGAAAATTCTAGGCAGTTTTTGTTTCTCCGATTTAATTACCTTCGTTCGTCTCAGCATGGCTTAAAGAAATAAATTAAACTAATTTATTCAACTTCATTTCTCTGTGCATTACTGCTAATAAATATTCCGGTACGTGACATAACTATAATTTTCAGGCGACATAACTTTAGTGCCTCGCATGCGATAGCAGGCCTCTTTGCGATTCCGGTCAACAGCTGACAGCCGGAGAAATTGGTTTACACTGATCTCGCATTAATTCCAGGCTAGACGACCATTAATGGTGATTTTCAAATGGCTATGGTTACGATCTTACGATCTTACATGTCTTACCCCAACTGCACGCTAAGCGTGCTATAATTCGCACACTTACCGTGACATATGGCACGCTACAAAAAAACAAAAGGTCTAGCGTGTTAAATTTATCAAAACAAAAGCAAGTGTGTCCGTCTTTGTTTTTTCAATTTAATATGCGCATATCCGTGATCTACGGCACGCTAAGCGTGTCGTGCAAGCGTGTCGTGAGCGTGCTTTCACCTTTAGCATCAAATTCCTGTGGAAGGTCACAATTACCTTTAAGCTCTTCTGTTCGGTTTCTTTCGGTAGGCGTTTGAAATAGCTATTGCTTGGAAACCCTTTTGGATTTCTGCCTTCAAATGGAAGTCTTAGTAACTGGCTTAAAAGTGGGGGTATAGAATGGTTCCTCGAATAACGTGGGTCTCGGAAAATTTGGCCCAATCTCGAAATCTAGGAAGCGTTCGTGATTGGTCTCGAGATCTCGTTTTCGGGTGATTTTGTGTTTCGGAGGCTGGAATTTTTTTAAGTCTCGGTCTCGAATTTCGAAACGAGGGTTTGGCGGTCTCGCAAAGTCTCTAATTTAACGGCAATTTATACCCCGGTACTCTAACCTAATCATGATACTTATTCCACAGAACAGTGTTAACATAACCCGCTTGAAATAGTTATTACAACTGAAGAATGATTAACGTTTCTTCATCTCCTTCTTATAATTTAGAAAGAGGTATTTGCAGAACAAAACGTAGGCCTTACTGTTTAATGATAATAATATTTCAGAAGAAAGGGCAGGTAGGCAGAGAGCGTCCAAAAGCCTTAAAACGCATAAGGTAAAAATAGTGTTCAGATATCTTGTGATGAAATTGTGCTAAAGAAAGCGACATAAATTATTTTAATCTTCAGAACACCAACATTGAAATATATTTCCTGGTAGACAAAGATTTCCACTAAAATTATCGTGCAACGTGTCGCAGACTAGTATCAGCAACTTGTCGCACGAACGGTAACACAAAAAGTGGACGTTATTTGTCGCAGCGACGCGTTACAGCGACATGTCGTCTACTGTACATGTGTTCCGTTCTTTTTGGGCTCTCACAGAGAAGATTTCGTCGCGGCCATGAGATTTCCTTCAGTGCTGACTCTTTGTAAAAATTCTACTATAGAATAATCGAATTGAAACGTTTTTACCGGATTTTAATCCTCACTCTTCCGACGAAAAAAGTTAAAATAGCTTTATCATTTTAAGAATTGTTATTTCGAAAACGGAGATTCTTTAACAGTCACCCGTGGGAAACGACAAGGTGAGCATTCTACGGCATTCTTCTACCGCTATATACAGGTCAACTTTGCAGAAAAATATAAGGCAACTGAAAATTTTGGCGAATTCTCCGGTCATAGTAATAAACAGGGTGACCGCTCATACAAGGCCGTTTATACAGGTTTGACTGTATATACTTTAAGGTTCTAAGACCGTGACTTTTCCGGTACAACCGTAAGTTGCTTCTTTTTTTTTTCGGTTTCTTTAATGACTTATGGATCTTCTATTCATGGAGCTTCTATTTTTTCGGTTTCTTTAATGACTTTATGGATCTTCTTTTGGGTTTTTTTTTTTCGCTTGTACAACNGTGATGAAATTGTGCTAAAGAAAGCGACATAAATTATTTTAATCTTCAGAACACCAACATTGAAATATATTTCCTGGTAGACAAAGATTTCCACTAAAATTATCGTGCAACGTGTCGCAGACTAGTATCAGCAACTTGTCGCACGAACGGTAACACAAAAAGTGGACGTTATTTGTCGCAGCGACGCGTTACAGCGACATGTCGTCTACTGTACATGTGTTCCGTTCTTTTTGGGCTCTCACAGAGAAGATTTCGTCGCGGCCATGAGATTTCCTTCAGTGCTGACTCTTTGTAAAAATTCTACTATAGAATAATCGAATTGAAACGTTTTTACCGGATTTTAATCCTCACTCTTCCGACGAAAAAAGTTAAAATAGCTTTATCATTTTAAGAATTGTTATTTCGAAAACGGAGATTCTTTAACAGTCACCCGTGGGAAACGACAAGGTGAGCATTCTACGGCATTCTTCTACCGCTATATACAGGTCAACTTTGCAGAAAAATATAAGGCAACTGAAAATTTTGGCGAATTCTCCGGTCATAGTAATAAACAGGGTGACCGCTCATACAAGGCCGTTTATACAGGTTTGACTGTATATACTTTAAGGTTCTAAGACCGTGACTTTTCCGGTACAACCGTAAGTTGCTTCTTTTTTTTTTCGGTTTCTTTAATGACTTATGGATCTTCTATTCATGGAGCTTCTATTTTTTCGGTTTCTTTAATGACTTTATGGATCTTCTTTTGGGTTTTTTTTTTTCGCTTGTACAACCTTGGGCTAACTTACCAGGTGTTTTTTTATTGCCTCAAAATGGCTCCATTTTAAAGTTATGTAAGTAAATGCTCTGAACCGATTCAACCTTCTATTTAGGCAATTAAAATATAAATTCACTGCTTTATATCAGTAACCAGTGAACACGCGAGAAAAGATTATTCGTAAAAAATATTCTGTTAGTTTAAGTAAAAGTCATAAACTTTCAGCTTTCCCTTGTACTTTTCTCTTTTGTTGTGTCCGACATGGCATTCGACTTTTTAAAGAGTTTTGTTATTTTACTGTAAACAAATGGATACTTTTGTTTGACCTCTTATGGACCCATCATAATTTATAGGGTTGGAATGGGAGGAAGGCTGAGAGGATTTAGAGAGGCCCCAGTCGTTCTGTCTCTTAGCAATGAGGGGAAACTCAGTGCGTAACTCGGTAAATCGGGGTCCTGTATATTACAGAATTTAGTAAGGAAAAAATATTGAAATGAACCCTACCTTTTAGTTCTTTTTGAAAGTGTAAGTTGCATTTCCATCTGATCAAATGTTGATTTACATTGTACCTCACATGACTGTGCCTCAAAACTTACGACTCCTGAAAGCTTAGCCGTTGGGGTTTTGAACTTGAAAGACGAGTATAATGCCCGAGTACAATGGAGTAATTGTTCCATCAATCTCATCTCACTCCCATTGTTACCAGGCTTTTCAGAAGTTTACAGACTCTAAAAACGAGAAAACTTGGGCTTGAAAGCGCTAAATACAATTGATTCCAGCCTTGTTTATGTTTTGCCCTTCAAAAGAAGTCTGGAGTTTTTCATTTCTTAACTAGAGTCAAGTTTGTTGAAATTTTTCACTAAGATGGGCTTGGATTGGCATGCGGGGCACATCACGAAAACTCCCCAGCCGAAACTTCGCCTCTACATATAGGTTCAAGTTTCTCGCTATTCGAAAAGTTGACTGCGCGTTTCAGAAGGAGTTGTGTTGTGTGCACTTTAGAACTAGTTTAAACTGAATCTGAAGATCTGACAAAATTTGAAAACTAGCAATAAATTTGCATAGTTGCTGGCCATGTGAGTGATTTAGTATGGGTCGTTGGCTTTACTAGGTCTCAAAATATAAGCCAAGCAAAAACAACAATAAAATTCGATGCAGTCAATCTATACCCTGGTCCCAGAAGTTTTTCTTGAAATCTTTCTTCGCGAAAGAAAAAAAAAAGTTTTCTTCGCGACTCTTTGTCGCCGCTTTGCTGCTCGCTTTCTCTTTGGCAAAGAAAAATTTCAAGAAAAACCTCTGGAACCGGGTAGTCAATCTAATAATCGCATTTGCTTTCGTTTAATTATCCAGAAAGAAGCTGCAGTGACATTAAAGCTCAAAATCTTCAGGCCACGAGTGGCTCTTACGTCATCGACCCAGATGGCGACGGAGGCAACGAGCCTTTTACTGTCTTTTGTGACATGGCTGACAAAAACGGTGTTGGCGTGACGGTGGTAGGTCACGACAGCGAAGCTAGAACGCTAGTTGATGGGTACGAAGGACCGGGGAGTTACGTGAAATATATCACCTGCACTGCAACGGGGCTTACCGACGTGGCACAGTTAGCGGGGCTGGCAGATGTTTCCGCTCACTGCGAACAGTTTATTAAGTATGAATGCTATGGTGCCCTTCTTTTCAGAGATGATGAATGCTGGTGGGTATCACGTGACAACGAAAAGATGATCTTTTGGGGCGGAGCTAAGCCAGGTGATAACAAAAAGTGCGCATGCGGAGTGACATCGCCAAACTCGTGCGCAGACCCCAATTATGGATGTAACTGCGAGATGAATGATGCCACGTGGCGCGAAGACAGCGGTTTACTAACTGAGAAATCCCAACTTCCTGTGATGGAGTTAAGATTTGGGGACACTGGTGACTCGTCAGAGAGAGGCTATCACACCCTTGGAAAATTCAAGTGTTATGGTTAGCCAACCCAAAATTGGCTTCCTTAGTATTAAGCTTGATAAATCAAAAAAGAAAAGAAGTTTTGTCACATTAAATCCAACTCTGTAAGGGAGGGTGTCACGGCTTTCCAATTCATTTTGTTTCTAAATAATGTCTCTAATGTCATCTACGCTTTTAGATAATTTTGTTAATTCTTCTTAGTTAAGTTTAAAACACTGTAATCAGTAATTAGCTAACATTGTAATTAGTATTAGATTAAGTGTTGTAATTAGTTATTATAAATAACGTAATATAATCAGTGTTCCTGAAAAGCCCCTTTGGGGAGGTAACAATAAAGTATGTATATATGTATGTATTATGTACGCGTCCATATCCGCTATAATACTTGAGAAACCTGTGAATAACAAAATCACAGATGCGTGTTAACAAAAAGTCGTCTCCAAAGCATTATATCCATGGTTACAAACAGCAAAAATGAACTTTGAAAAACTGTTAGGTGAACAAGTTTTCAAAAAACACACTTGCAATCTCTCTGTCAATCTTCTTTAAGTTAGTCCATCCCTGCTTCTCTTTGAAATTGCTGTATCATTTATACCTTCTTCTAACGTCTGAAGCGGTCACCCCACACGCATGCGCGAGCCAATGAAAACAAACTTGAAAAAGTTGGCCCGTCTTTTTCAAGTTCTGTGGGAGATTTTGGAAGGCTGTTTTTATCTGTCTAAATCTCAGCCATCGTTCGATAGTTAGCGAAGTTTTGTATTAAGAATCGTTCTATGGTGATTACAGAATAATTTTTTGGCGTTATTTTGAAATTGTTTGCCTGTGGAATGTTTTTACGTGGATTTACTGTGTCCTCTTCTCAACGGCCGTTGTAATGGCAGAGTTAATGACGGCTACTCCACAATGAGTGATGGAATCTTTGATGGAATCTTCCCTATAGTTCACAGAACCTTTCTACTGAGTTATTTTAGAGGTTGCTGGCTCTTGGATTTTTCTTGTGCTCAAAGTATGTGGACATATAATGAAGTGGCTATCGAGTTGGCGGCGGCCGTTTTTGGTAAACGATTACAAGAGCATCAGGCAATGAGTTTCGTGACCAAACTAAACTCCTGGCGAAGGAAACATTGTAAAATTCGGCTAGATTTCTTCTTGTATTTATCTGGATTCACGGCAAAGATAAACACGACCGTTTGCTCGTCCAGATTGTTCTCAACGGACTTAGAGAGGCACCTTAGTACGAGTTAGATCCTGTAAATGCTATGTTTTTGAACTGTTTGTGTTCGAGCATATTTTTGGAAAATAGCAGAGTTTACTTTCCCTTTTTATCAACGGACTGCTTATAGTGGAGTAGTATACCAATGATGCTTGGTTCTGTTTTTCTCGAAATCGCAGTGATTCGGCACGATCGAACAATTTTGCGCGGTAATGTATATTTCCCTAAGATCAAAACAAAGACTTGATGTCTCTTGTTCTATCAGCATCTAAATTATAAAATCACTAGCGACAGACAAGTCTAATTGTTAATGATTTGAAGCAGTCTTGGTCTTTATCTTTGGTGTAGCGTCTTTTGTAGCTCGTTTGTAAAATACAACTTCGATTTATTTTGTTGAATAAGACAATATGTTGTTGTTGTTTTTTGTTTGCGCACTATTTTATGAATGGCATGCGTTTTTACTCCAAAACTACAAGTAAAATTGTCGTCACAATTTTATTCTTAATCTAGCATAACCAGAGAAGAAACGTTCCGTAAATTCTATCGAAATATCCCTTATCTAAACCCATTTCGCTTGTTAACCTCTTTAAATTCGCAGCCTTGGACGTTACAGAGAACATGGAGAAAGTCACGCGTTAAAAACAATAGAATTTTGACAGTTAATAGTAATTTGCATAACTTCAGAGCGCATGCTCTCCAGCTGACATAGCCCCTTTAATGTTTCACTCAATTTGGTGATAGTTCCCACGGTTTGAATTTTGATAAATTTCGTGACACAGCTTCTTTAAGAGGCTTTAGCATCGATTGTTCAGACTTTATTTCTAGATATTGCCTTCCTTTTTGGGTGGTCCATAAACGATTCTTCCTCATTGGAGCCATACAAGATAAAGTCAAGCTAAAAAGTGAGCTTTGTTGCGCCGCAAAATGTACAAAATAACGCAAGGCATTTATACCGCGAAATGTGACAAAACATATGATATAAAACCGAAATGTAATAAGTAAACTTTTAAAGCAAAATGTAGCACCTTTTTCATTAAAAAAAGAAACAGTTAACGGCGTTTGCCTCTTTTAAATAATAACAAAGGGATGCTATTATTCATCATAAAGAGTATCTGTTACATGTAATAGTGAATAAAATGATACTATTCCCACCTCAGCGTTCATTTCGTTGAACTCGATTTAATGCGTTTACATTATTGTCATCCCTTAATCTTGCTTATGAGGGACAACCCCTAAACTAACCCCCCCGCCCAAATGATACAGGGAGCTTGGTTCACGGCTTGGGCAAATGGAAAATTCAGGACTGGTAAATTTCGTCCCGGAATCGCGTTTACTATTTGTACAAATCAGTTCCATCTACCTGAAAAAGAATGCAAAGGCCTGAAACAGGTATCAAAGATGGCGTTGGAGAAGTGGAACCTGTACACGAATTTCTTTTTGGACCATTCCGTCCGAAGAAAAAAACACAGGACTATCTTTTCAGATGTCCCGTTGCTTTGCTGTAATGACCCAAAAAGTCGAGTTTCATTTACTTGCCAACCGTATTTTTCGGAAACTTTTTGTAAAGGGCAAACAACCTTGGTTCACAAGGGACCGTTTTATATATTGGCTCCGTTCACAAGAAACTTTAATTTGCACGGCTTGGCGTCTCAATTTTCGTACAGAGATAGTCCAGTGTGAATGGAACACTTAATTTAAAACGCACGAGTTTTCGACCGATCGAAAATTCGTCCGGTGCAGTGTGGTCGTAGCCTTAATACTGCACGTGCAGGGCACGTGCAGCACACTTTTTTTGTACATTTCTTTGCAGTCAATGCACAACTACAAAGTGAAATTCCCTCACGGGACGTTTTAAGGAGTACCTAAACACCACAGTCCTTTCTTCTTTCCTTACTCTGAAAAAGACAAACGCACAACAGTCCTATTCAGGACTTCGCTCACCCAGACAACATCGCGTAGAAAACTTATAGAAGCGAGCGACAGTAGAAACCATATCAAATGTAAATTAAGTCTTTTGGTCGGATGCTGGGATCCCTGTGGTTTCTTGGTAATGCTGATGTGTGCAATCATCACATGACGTAATACAAAAGATTGAAAAGATAATGAACAATATTCACACCACAACACAAAAGCTAACCACCTACCCCTCCCCTAAGCTGACATTAACACTTGCTTCTCACTTAGGGCAAACTGTTGGCTTAGGGGAGGGGCAGGTGGGTAGTTTCTTAGAAACCTAATTTGATCCCAATGGTTTCCGCAACATCAAAAACACCCCGGATAGGGTCGTGGCCAGGTTTTTTTTCTGATCTTGGTTTTACGCAAGGCAATGTGCGCTTCCGGTTCAGGTACAAAGCCTTTCAGATGGAATCTCAGACGGGTCAACTGCGATATAATTCGGACACATCCGTTTGAGCTAATTAAAAGGAACAAACTCTGAGTTTTCTCCCAATGTAAGGGAACCTAGTTTTCGGAATTCGGGAAAAATTTTCTCGTGAAATCTGGAATCCTGGGCTTTGGAATCCGTAATACAGCTTAAGGAATACTGAATCCCTCTAACTATTGGAATCCAGAATCCAAGTTCCACTGACTGGAATCCAGTACCTGGAATCCGGAACCCACGGCGCGGAGTCCAGATTTCAAGACTGTCTTACATTCCCTTACGTGGGCTTAGATGTTAAACCAATGAGAAAAATAATTGATGCTGCCTCACAACTGGATAACGGAAGTGATATTATCACTGCCATCAGGTAGCTGTTTATATAATACCTATCCAATTCAATTGAAAAAAATTCAACTTTATGGCAGATAAGCCACATGTTCGTTAAGTGAAATGTTGCTAATTGTGATTTTTGCTAGCCCCTTATTAGGAAATGTTTAGAGGAGAAATGATAATGATAATGATAATGATAACGATAACGATAACGATAATAATAATAATAATGATAATGATAATGATGATGATAATGACAATGATAATGATAATGATAATGATAACGATAACGATAACAATAATAATAATGATAATGATAACAATAATGATAATGATAATGATAATGATAATGATAATGATAATAATAATAATAATAATAGTAATGAACTTTATTAAAGTCTCATGTCTTATAACACAGGCACAGTGCCTTACTAATTGGGGAGACTGAAGTATATATATATGTTAAATTTATTGACAATGGTTTATTATATTATTAGAGTTCAATGTTTTACAATGTATATCTTTTTTTATTTTAATGTATGCATTTTTATAAAAGTATCATCCATTAATATTGTTGTAAAGTGCTATGAAAAACCACTGGATGTACATTATTATTATTATTAGAGNTTCAATTGAAAAAAATTCAACTTTATGGCAGATAAGCCACATGTTCGTTAAGTGAAATGTTGCTAATTGTGATTTTTGCTAGCCCCTTATTAGGAAATGTTTAGAGGAGAAATGATAATGATAATGATAATGATAACGATAACGATAACGATAATAATAATAATAATGATAATGATAATGATGATGATAATGACAATGATAATGATAATGATAATGATAACGATAACGATAACAATAATAATAATGATAATGATAACAATAATGATAATGATAATGATAATGATAATGATAATGATAATAATAATAATAATAATAGTAATGAACTTTATTAAAGTCTCATGTCTTATAACACAGGCACAGTGCCTTACTAATTGGGGAGACTGAAGTATATATATATGTTAAATTTATTGACAATGGTTTATTATATTATTAGAGTTCAATGTTTTACAATGTATATCTTTTTTTATTTTAATGTATGCATTTTTATAAAAGTATCATCCATTAATATTGTTGTAAAGTGCTATGAAAAACCACTGGATGTACATTATTATTATTATTAGAGAGTAAGCAGTGCGCAAAGAAAGTAGTGTCCGATAGCCCGGGCTAGTGGATTTTGCCATCGAGCTAGTGAATTTTGAACTTAACTTGCCCGATGGGCAAGGAACTCAAATTAAAGAAGAACTGTGAAATCAATCGGTTTGGGGGCTAGTTGAAATGACATTTGGGCTAGTATATGCTAGCTTCAGCTTGCCCGAATGGCAAGCTTTAAAAATCACCTTCTGGTAAGAGAGAAATTTTCCTATCCACTTGTCCTTCACAGAAGCAATACATTAAATTTGGTTGTCCGAAACCTAAAGTTCTTGTCCAAAAAGTTTAGCTTGCGACGGGCATTTAATGTTTTTAATCACATTATTTAACCACATTATTACCCTTGTATATTATTTTTGAATTAAACCTACAACAGAGCTTGTAAAAAAGCAAATGGATGAAACGACCGGCAGTGGAATGGCAAAGTTAAATGGAGTATTTAAGGCAACTGTTTCTTATCTTTATTTTTCTAATTAAAAATGTGCTTGTCCCACGGACAAGTCATATCAAAGGTTTACATGTCCGAACTAAATTTCTACCAGTCCCGGACTAAAGTTCCAAATTAATAAACATTCCTAGCCTTCTCATGAGCTCCACCAAAGACCTTCAGGGAAAATATAGAAACATATAAGCACCTTATTCTCAAAAGTTTCAAATTTTCCTGAAACTTTACCTTATATATTTTTTTTCCTTTTTAATACGAAACGTTGAAGGTTCCTAGTTAATGTAACAGGAGTGAAGCCACTTTGCTATTTAAAAACCTTATCCTCAATCTTGAAAACAATGCCTCCTAAGAATAATGTACAGTGTACCCTGTAAATAAAGCAGCCTATTTTCTTTCCTTGCCACCAGGGACATTTCACAAGAGAGACAGTTGTATTTGCAGATTAATGGTGTATGTAGACAAGAGAATCCAAAACAGCTATGACTGCTATGACTCTCTTAAGAGTCTTATCTTTCACAACTTGTTTCTTTAAATTTTATTTTCCTTTAAACCTAGATTTACTGACGATACAACT